GGGCGGGGATAGTGATTGAAGCGCAGCCATGTTGATGGGTTTCCCGGCACCTGCCGCCGACCCGGCTCTGTGAGCTCTGGCCCCGTGTCCTGCAGGGACATCTCCCCTTGGAAGGGGTCGCTGGTAAACTCTGTGTGCTCCCTCCCCTTTTAATCTTAAGGTCTTTGCACAACTTTTCTATCCGTAAAAAATAACGCCTCTAGGATTAATGGTTTTTTTACTTTCTACTTTTTATTGATAAAGAGGCAAGTGAAATGCCAGTTTGCCATCTCTGTGGTCAAGCCCAGTACATAGCTAGTGTTTCTTTACCGTGATTAAACAGAATCAACCTGTTGAAAAGGATGAGGCTTCAGTCAGCAGTGGAATAGGGATCTACTGTTTCTCACTGTGTGACTTTAAGAGGTTAGTAAGGCAAAGAAAGCTGAGGCTGTCTGCTAGTGCAGAGTCCTGAACTTTGCTAAGGAAAGACAGCATCTTATTTTCTGAAGGGAATGGCTGAGGTCTTACTGCAGCAGATAAAGGAGCCAGGTAAAGGATTTCTTTGGAGGTGAGGTAGGAAGGATTCTAGCAAAACAAAAGTTTTGTGTGACTTTCTCCATTCTGTTATGTGATTTGTCAGCAATCAGTCAAGGTGCATACATACCTGTTGGTATGACTGGCTGCTTCTTGCCTTAATGTGGCTTGTTTCATTCTTGGTAATGTTTTTTTATCTTGCTCACCTGTTGCTTAAAGAGGGCAAAAAAGTGCAGGCACAAGTGCCTTTCCTGATCTAGCAGGAAAAAGAAAAACAATATGGTGATGGTTTTGCATGCCGGCCTTATTGCTTGGTGAGCTTTTTAGCAGGAGTTGTAAGGAAAACGATCATTCATAATGTTAATTGAAAATGGACTTATGTTCAAGTTTACCTCAAATGTCCCTGTTAATAATCTTGTAATTATGTTCACTTAAGTCTCCTCTTAAAATGATCCCTTTAGAAGCAAGGCCTGATGCTTGCCCAGGGCTTCCAAATGTCTGACTTCTAGGAATAAGGATAAAGGTTAGTCAACTTCTGTCTTGATCATAGGAAGCTTTGGCTTTCCTTGTTAAAATTAATGAAAAGGCTGTTTTGGCATGGGTAGGAGTGGCTGATGATTGTTTCCTCTGATAGCATCAGACTACAGCATCTTGAAATATGGGGGGTTTCATTTGCTGGTGGGATAGGTGTCATCGCATCAACTACCTTCTTGGACTCATCAGTAAAACTGGTTATGGTTTCCTCTGGGCTTGTCCTCTTCCTTGCCTGATCCCCCCCACTATGACAGCTTGGGCTTAATGATGGCTGCACCATGGCCACATGGATGTTCAGTGTAATGTTGTTACGTCTGATGTTCTTTCCCCCACAGTAATGCTTGGAGGAGACCCTAAAACTTGTGTGGGTAGGGAACAGTGTTTCCCCAGTATGCTGTCTTAGGGAATACATTGGAGGCTTGTTCCTGGTCTCTGGCAGCTTGTGCAAAAGGAGCGTGTTGCTCTGAAGCTGTGTGTGTGAACTTCCATTTATTAGCAGCCACCTGGCCATGTAGAATGAATTTTGACTACTGCACCTTACACTAGCTTTCTTACTTCTCTGAGGGTTTTTGTCAGGCTTCCTAGGGTTTTTCACCCTCTTCCTAATCTGATTGAAATAGGCCAACAGGTTCAATAGCTATTTTGTGGGGGAGGGAAAGGATGATGGTGGGGGAATCAGTGGTATTAGCCTTGTTTCTTAAAGCAGGCTAAAACCTGCATGTGCCACTGGCACCTGTTTCTGTGCTTGAAACAAACTTGAAAGCATAACTATAAAGCTTGATGCTGAAGACTTACTGAATCGGTGCTTGGCAGTGAAACTTCAGGTTCTTACTTCTGTAAACAAGAAATCTTGGGAATGGATGCTATACTAGGTAGAGCCCTTTTCTCTAATAGCTCTCAGTCTTAACATAGTTTTGCTGCTCCTAAAATGTTCATATTTATGCTTAAAAAAATTGTATTAAAGACCCAAACCTTCACTTCTAGAAGTACAATGAGAAATGGCCTGTTATTACTTTCAATAACAGCAACAGTTATCAGCAAACATTCCTACTTTAGCTCTGTATTTGAGGAAGAGGTTGCTCTCTGTCAGAGGGGTATATAAGAATGGCAAGACTGAGTGAGACCAAGGGTCTGTTTTGCTGTGTCACTTCCTATGTTTAGGGAAGAATGCATGTATAGAACAGGTGATGGTAACAATTTGCAGTGTGTTCTTGCCTCTAGCAGACTGGCTTGGACTTCTGGAGATTCTCTAGACTATTTTAATTGCTTCTTGGGTTCCTTCCCCCCCACCCCCCCAATCATATATAAGGTTTTTAACAAGCAATCATCTATAGGTGATTAGACCCTTTTCAGATAAGTACTACATAGATAGCATGACCACAACTATCTATGCAATAAGTAACATCTACTAAAGTCTAGAGCCCAAAATTCTCCCTTTCCTACAGGTTTGAAAAGGACAAGTTTGTGGTCTCCACCCAGTTGCTGTGAGGGAAGGAGAGGTTGATCTACCTCCATCACTCTTGAGTTCCTCCCACACTTTCTTATGTGTTGGAGGAACAGGTTTCGCCAGATCCTGTAAGACACTGCAGTATGGCTTCTATGATTTACCAGCTACAAACTGACCAACTTTACGTTCCAAGACTTCTAGAATCAACACAAGCCCCTGTCTCACATGACACCAAAGCAGCACCTTACTTAGAAGATCCCTAGAAGTAGCAATATAAAAAAGAATAATGTCTTGTGGTGTCCTGTTTGGTTAGAGTTGTGTTGACAGAGCAAGAAAGCACTTGTCCAAAATAAGGGTGTGCTGCCTCTCCACTTCAGAGAGTTGCATGGTGCTTGATACTCCTTCCTTGGCCAGTTCTGGTTTCCAAGGAAGAAAGGAAGGGTAAGTCCAAGTGGTTATGTTTTGTGTCTAGCTACTAAGATAAAGAGAACTGATGAATGGCAGTGGGACTTTCAGCTTCACTGCTCATTTCTGGGATAAGAAATAAAAAAATATGGCTGGTCAGTTCTGAAAATAGAGCTGGACTTCATTCTAGATGCTGTCTGGTAAACTCCTGGCTGAAGAACAGCGAGTAACTTCCCATTACTGTGTTAGTATAAACTGCAGTGGAGATGAAAGTATTCTTTGAGTGTTGAGGGAACAGAGTAGGTCTGATTGTGACTTCATGTGCAGGTATAAAAGTATTTTTGTAACACTTCTGTACTTCCTTATGTTTTAGAGTGACTTCTTTTAACTTTATTTCCAGCCACCAAAGTTCTTGGCACAGTCAAGTGGTTCAATGTCAGAAATGGATATGGCTTTATCAACAGGTATGTTTAAATTATGATAGTCATGTTTATACTGTACTAAAACTCATGGTACAGATAATATGCCATGTGTTAGTAATTGCAGCAGAGACCCAAGGACTTGACTACAAGTTCATGTGGTTGATAGCCAGATTTGGCTAGGCATTCAGCAAACTCAGGTATCACCTCAGGGGATGTTTCCCCTCACACCCTCCATCCAAGGTTGTGTGTATGGGGAGAAAACAAAGGGTCACACTCACTACAAATTTAGTCTGTTACTTGTTTCTTGTGTTTACTTGTACTATGCCTTTAACGAGCTGTATGTTCTTTCATGACTGCCTGCCTTTTTTTTTAAAGGTGCAAGTAAGGTTGGAGGATGAGGGGAAATACTTCTGGAAAAGATTCAAGTGTTAATTGATTGGTCAAAATGCCTACTCTAAATACATATTGAGATTCCCAGATGTTGTCTAACTGAAGACATTCCAGACCTGGGTCCACAGAAATTCTCTATCTTTTATTCTTATTTATGCCATTCAGAGGTTTGTTCATGCTCAGAAGCCAAATAGCTGTAAGCAATATTGATCACACTCCAGCCTTAGGTGCACAAGACCCACACTTTGAAGTTACTGGAGGAAACTCTGGCTTTTAAGGCTGGAATATCTGTGGGGTTGAGGGGCTTAAATGTCTTGTGCTTACGAAAAACAAAGCTCCTGCATGGCAAACATTTGTCTTGCAAAAGACATACCTGACAAGTTATTTTGTCCTGCAAGTCCTTGAACTGTTACACAGCAGGTGGATTTGGGTAAGTTGGAAAGGGTAGAAAGGGGTAGAAGAGCCCTGTTTCAAGGATCTGAAGCCAGTTCTGGTACAGCATTAATCCCAGTCCCTGCAGACTACAATCTAGCACTATGCAAGCTTAGAAGAAAAGCTTGAATTGGGAAGTACTCTAAAGTCTTTCATAGCAGTTGATGTGAGAGCCTTCAGCTGGATATGGTGTAATAACTTGAGAGCTTTCTTCCTAAACTGAAGTCTACTATTACTTCAGTGCAACAAGTTTTGGATTATGCATTATCACAGATTCTTTGACCCACCCGTTCCCTCAGCAGAGAAGAAATTGAGTAAGCAGATGGCAGAGTCTAGGCTCTTTCTGCTGTATGGGAGCACAGAATCAAGGTCTTGGACCTGTCTTCATGTTTTGCATGTAGAAGCCTGAACTGTCTAGCCTAATTCAGACAACTTCATGTTTGTGTCTGGGTCCCTCTCCAATGGACTCTTCTAACACCTCTTGTGCATGGCTGCTTTGAGTTTCACTGAAAGGAGAGCTCTGTTAACAGCTGTGGCTGGTCCTGTTGATAGTCCTTGTTGATAGCTGGGATAAGAGCTCAGATTGCAGTCCTGTGGAAGGCTTTTTGGAAGGGTGGAATAGTGAAAGGCAAGCAGTCCAGTCATTAACTCTGTCCTATGCCAAAACAAAATATTGAATGCTTGCCAAAAGAGCAACTTCCCACTCCCCTCACCCTTCTGAAGGGTGGGGAGTCCTTTCTGCTGTCAAGCATATGACCCTGGAAATTCAGAGGAGGGTCTTGGTAGCATAGACTTACACAGAATGTATGGAATCCAGGGAATGTACTACAGGCTGGGGTAAGGAGGGTTTCACTTGTGAAGTCAGGGATTTCTATTTAGGTCTCTTAGTCTAAACTCTTATGACTTCTCACTTTCTTTTCACAGAAATGATACCAAAGAAGATGTGTTTGTTCATCAGGTAAGACAGCAGTAGTTGTGCTTAGAGATGTGTACTCTGATAGGTTTCTAATGCAACTTCCTGAAACAGCCACCCAACCTTGTCCTGGCTTCTCCTTAGAATATTTACTGCAAATGCCTTGAATGGACATGTATGTTGAAATTTTCAGGAAGAAATATTGGGGTATATGTTACTGTTCTTTGGAGTTATAACTGAAGGAGTAGGTATTATGACCCTCCATGCTTGCTTTTTGTCTGCTCTGATCTGAACATTGAAGTTTTTTTTTTTCCAGTGTTTTTTTTGTTTTGTCTCCCCCCTAGGGAGATGACTCCTCTGTTTTGTACATACCTTGCTACTTGTCTGTCCTTCCCCCTGCCCCCCCCTCCATTTCCTTGTGTTCCTTCTGTCTTCTGTTTCTTTCTACCCTCTCCATTTGCAGGTCTGTTCTGTCTGCCCTCCCTGGTATTGGAGAGAAAGTGATCTAGTCTGGCTCTTGACCAGCCTGGGTTGCCATCAGCTGTTGCTGCATGAGGCAGCTGCTCTTGGGAAGAGGAGGAGGGCTGTATGCCAAGTGTGCCCAAGCAGAGAGGAGTTGTCCAGCAGCCTGTCATTGGCTAATTTTGCTTGAACTGTCAGTAGGCTGTTCTAAGTTTAATACTGCAAACTCTCAGGTTGCAGGCAACTAGTGGGAAGACAGAGGATGCTGTCTCCATGCTGATGTAGACTTGTTAGTTGGCTTAGATCTTGTTTTGCATCCTCTGAGACTTTTACTTCACCAGAAAATGAAATACTGCCCCTGGAACTTGTCCCATATGAAGTGTTTGCAGGTCCTATGAAGTGTTTGCAGGTCCACGTCATTCTTAAAAGTATGATTTCTTTGTGGTGTAAGTGGCAGTATTTCTGTCAAAAGTAACCAGGAAAGTTACAGTTACATCCTCATCCTCTGTGATGACGTCTATGCATATGTAGCTGTGTTAAACATGGTGGTCAACTTGGAAAGCTAGTTCAGTTCCTGTGGCTTCATAACTAAATAGCCTGTGATAACTGTTTCTCCGGGTCAGGGGTGTAGACTGGTTATCTGAAAACAGTTGAAGCTGGGAGAGAATAAGTCTAGTGCCTGTAATGAGTGAAGATGAAGTTGCGAAGTGTGTGCAGTACACTTTGCCAATTCAGTTGGTGCACTAGGAGCAAGAGCTCTCAATGCATGTACTGATTTCTAATAGTCGCTCTCCTTCCTTAAGGACAGTGTGCTGTGTACATACAGCATGCAGCATACGGATGGGTATGCTGGGTGGGAGGGTGGGAAGAGTTCTGGTAGAAGAAACATGTTCTAGATAGGCAGCACTGTGAAACTACCTTGAAGACAAACAATATCTCCTTGAGACCTGTGAGAAAATATCCTGGAAATTGGTGGCTGTACTGATAACAGATAGGCAGAATAACACTAATCTGTGGTGAGAAGGGTGCTTGTGGAGTCAAGGCCCACAGCAAGCTAGTATTTCCTGCACTGTTTTTGTCTCCTTTGCCTGTGGAGAAGATTATTCACCTAAATGTAAACTGGTGTGTGTATGGGAAACTTATTTCCCATCTCCTGTGGCTGAAATCCTCTTGGAGGGAGCACTGAGGAAAACTGGCTTGACGTTTCAGAAATACCACATCATGTGCAAGCTTGTATCTGATTAACCTCTTGGTGGGCTGTGTGTGGCAGAGTAGATGCTTCCAGCTCTGGCCTGGGTTAGTTGCAATCAGATGTTCCTCAGCTCTTCCATCTCGAGCTGTTCTGTACATGAATGTGCTGGTTACTGGAGCCAGGGGCTTTCTGGCCAGAGCTCCTGCCTGAGTGCTTGGCTCGGCAGGGTCAGCCTGCCTGGTGAGGGAGGCAAATCCATGGTGTAAGCAAACAGCCTGCTGCAAGCTCCCTCTCTGCAGTTAGTGCTGATTCTGCCCCTCCTCCCCGTGCCCATCCCGGGAAAGGCTGGATTACATGCCTAATCCCTTCAGAATAAGGCTGACCTAGTTGAATAGATACAGCTTCCTCCCCACCCCCCCGGCACACATCCAGCAGGGAGGGAACAGGCCGATCTCATGACTGGAATGGGGGTTAATGCTCAGTGTGTGGCTATTGGATGCTATTTATAAACCCAGTACAGATTAAAATGCTTTTCTCTTTAGGGCATGCATGGCTTGCTTTGAATTAACCCTTTGTTTTGCAGGAGGGGGGACCCAAGCAGTGTTTTGGGGAAGGGTGATTCTTTACTTGCTTCATCTTGCTTGCAGCCTTGTCTGGTTGGTTCATGGAAGGCCCTGTCTAGGGGACCCTGTCAGAGGTGGTGTGAGCAGTACAGAGCCATCGGGAGGCTCTTGCAATTTAACACCATTAATCGTGTCAGTAGCCAGAGAAGTCCAATTTGATTAAGCGTATCTTGAATCAGCAAGCAGTGAGGAAGAGGACTTAATCTGCACAGATCTTTCTTTTTCTTCACTGGTCTGTGTTTGTTGTGCACAGATTGCTGCATGTGCACCAGTAACTGGTGTAACCAATTCTGGCGATTGCTGTGACAATGCTGGATGTGCACATGATGTGGTGCTATCATGAGGATATGGAAAGAACTCTTCCAAACAAAATACTGAACTAGGTCTGAAGACTCACACAGCTGTCTGTTCATCAATGTTCTCTTGGGAAAGGAAAGGCTCTGTTCTAATTGAGTACTGTCTTTTGAATTAAAGAAGCTGGAACCTGCAGGATGCTGGTGAGCAGTAACAGGGAAAACAGTGCTCTCTCCCCTCTGGATATATAGAGTAAAAGTCTTTTCATTAAGCTTAGAGCTTAGGCTTGTTAGAGGCTTATTTCAGCAATGTTTAGCTGCAGCTGAAGTAATAAGTAGTAAAGCTGTATAGTTTCTGTTCTGAATTCTAAGTCTTACTCAAAATTGTTCCTGGCTGCCTTTATAAAACAAACCTCAGCGTACCGTGTGGCAGCCTCTATCTCCTATTGGCAGGTTATTCAACTGCAAATCTGAATTTTGATGTTTGTCCATAAAGCTGGAACATGTGGAATCCTGTTGAATTCATCTTCCATTACCCTTCTTGGAGGATGTTTGAGGAGCTTGATTAATCTTAAGTACACCTTCTGAAAAGAAATGTGGTAGTCCTTTCTTCCTCTATGCTTACCAAGAAGGGGAAGAAGTTTGAAATACAGCTTGGTTGACATCTGTCATATGCAGAACACAAATCTCATGAGTTTGAGTCAGTTGTCTCAGTACAAGTGGTGGTGAAAGAATTAAACCCTTAATCTGCACTGAAGATAATGATTTCAGTATTAGTATATAGCATTTATGGGAAAGCTAGCACTTCTAGCTGATTTGAGAAATGGAGCAGTTACACTAATAGGTCAGCAGAAAGTAAACATAGCTGTCTCAGCGGATGGTGGGAGTCTCTGCTTTGTAAAGTAATTACCAAAAGAATTCACTTGAGCAGCTCATTCTCTTCCTGTATATATAAAAAAAACCCAACCAAACAACCCTCTCAGGTTGTTTTTGCTTTGGTAACAATAATATGTACAATCTTGCATTCTTCCTTAAGCTGTTCAGGGACACTGCAGGGTACAGGGAAAGGTGTGGCTATATGTAGGACTAAAAGGATGTGTTGGCCTATTGCCTGAGACACAAAGGGGACTGTACTCAGCAACAACAACAATAGTCTTCCTAAACTGGTCAAGTTCAACTTTAAACTGATTAGAACTTTTCCTTCAGCGGGAAATACTTTTGGGCAATTGTTGCTATGCACAGGCAACTATATTCATTCAGTCAACAACTCAACTGGTCTTTATTCTGCCTGTTTTTCCTGAACTGCAGACAGATATGACAACTATCTCTTCTGTTTCTGCCTTGCATCCAATTTCTTAAGCCAGAGTTGTACCCTGTACTTCCATGTATGCTTCTATCTACTAGACCTGCTCCTCCTTCCTTCATGCTAACAAAAGATGCCCATATCAGGAAACTTAAAGTGAATTTGTCTTTACTGAAGTTCTCTTAGATTTAAAAGGCCGACTACTGGATTGGCTTGTACAATGTGTGTGGTTTTGTGTTGTTTTTTTCCCCTGGTCTCTTCCAGTTTGTGAACCCTGAACTAATGAACAAATAGTAGTAGGCTTGTCTTGCTAACTGCTTCTTGTGGAATCATAGAAATACTCCATGAAGTGAGAGGCATCTGTAGTTGACAATTGAAAATTGTTCCAGGAGGTTTGAGTGTTCCTGTGAGTCTGAGGAGGCTTTAAACTGCTTTTGGGTTTTGATCCTAAGCTATGTATTTTGGGGTTTCTGTCTAGGAGATGACTAAGACTGCAATTATCTGTTCTGGTACTATTCATGTGTTCTTTAGGGACTCACCTAATTCTTGTCAGTCTCACTTACAGTGCTTAGGTAAATGCTTATTTACATTACACCAATTCTTCTGTAGTTACAGTGAGTTGCCATGATATGTAATAGTTAAGACCAGGAGCATTTTTGTAGAAGATGGCATGAAGTTATCTGTAGATGGTCTACAGGTCTCCTAATGACTGAAGATATGGATCACACTGGCTGCTGGAGATGCCTTGGTACAGCTTGCAGATCAAACACTCTGAACTCTGTTCATACAGAAATATACAATCGTTTGGATATTTAGTAGACTTGACAGAGGGGATTCTGGGGCAACAGCTGATTTGTAAACTCGTAAGTATTGAGAAAGGACTACACCTTGACTGAGCATTGGAGGGCCATAGACATCTGTGTATTTGAGATATCTTGGTGTGGCAACTATCTGGTATGTAGAGTTGGGATTGTAGCAGAAGAATACTGTCCTTTCCTCATCTACAGGGCTATGAATGTGTAGGATAATAAGTAAAAATAATACATTTTTCTGTATCTTTTTAAAGACAGCAATAAAGAAAAACAACCCACGGAAATATCTGCGCAGTGTTGGTGATGGAGAGACTGTAGAATTTGATGTGGTCGAGGGAGAGAAGGTGAGAGATTATGGGGACTTAGCGGTATGGTCCAACAGAGTTAAGTCTAGTGGGGAGTAACACAAAACATTAGCTGTGTATCTGATGTGTTTGTCTAATGTGTTAATTGCTGGGGTGGGTGGCATTTGTACAGCTTTTCTGTGGAAGATCTGTTTTTAAAGGCTTCATTAAGAAGTGTTCCTAGATATGTATCAAAACTCTGCTTTAACTACATCCTAGTACTTCTAGACTCTGTAATTTTTACTTGATAGAGCATTTGAAGCTTGCAGCCTGCCCAATAATCATTAACTGAGACACATATTGCCTTGAAGAATTTGTCTTGGAGTCTGGTCTTAGTAACTGTAAGAACCTTCAAGTTCTTTGTGCTTCTACTCTCTTAAACATTTTTTGAGTTTTCTGAGCTTCTTTGTATGGGGTTTTTTGTGTATGTGTCATATTGTGCCGCCCCCCCCCCCCCATCTTTTCCGTTGGGCGCCCCCCCCCCCCCCATTTTTAATCAGGTGGTATTTGCTTTTTCCTCTTAACTCAGTCTGGATGATAGGCTCTTAACTCATGATGTTATGAATAACAAGCCTGCTTTTGCACTATGTGGAAGGAAGGAATCAATCTCTGTAGCTTGGAACTGATGCGAAAAAAGCCTTTCCTGTTTCATCTTCTCCCTGACTTGTTCTTCTCTCACACCACACTGGCTTTCTTTTGGCCTTTTAGGGTGCAGAAGCAGCTAATGTCACTGGTCCAGATGGAGTCCCTGTAGAAGGCAGCCGATATGCTGCAGACCGGCGCCGCTATCGACGTGGCTATTTTGGCCGGCGCCGTGGACCACCTCGAAGTGTAAGTTTAATTTCTTTAGTGGTGGTAATCCTACCTCCTCAGCAGTCTTCTGATCCCCTCATGAGAGGGAACTACAGGTTCAGCACTGGCATATAGTAAACTGCCAATGCTTAAGTTGAGTGTTCCTCAGTAATATTCTGAGTTCCTCGAGCACGTCATTGATGTTACTGGGTGTTCTGTAGACCTTTCCTTGGCATGTCTTTACAGAATGTGTTAAAAGCATCTCTTTGGGTGTTAAGGTATCTGTTTGAAGAGTGAATGTGAGTAAGTATGAGGTATGTCACTGTAGTTACGTACTACAGCAGTTACTACTCCTATCTGCATTGTGCTTGTGCTAAATTGGTGCCTGAAACAATCCAATAAACTGGAACGTGCTCCAGGCTTGATTATCTTTTAATAGTTGAATCTGTGATCATCACTTGCAGAAATGTGTGAATGATCCAGTAGGAGAGCCCTGGTGGAAGTCTCTGACTAAGCAACTTAACTCTCTTGTTCTACAGACTTGACAGCACAGGGGCAAACAGAACAAGTGTTGTCAAATCTTTCCTTAAAGCCTAGCTGTTTATACTAGCTGTCATGAGATCTCTAATCCTGCTGGGTGTCACTGAGCCTTAAATATGTGAAAGGTGTTCTTTGAGTCCATTGGAGATGGCTAGAAGTTGGTGCTGGTAACTGATGTCTTTGTGGTGATACAGTTTGCAGCTTCAGCTTTCATGTCAAGTGGCAAAGAACTAGGATACTTGGTTTTGTTCAGCTTTTTGATGTTTCCAGTCTTATCTGTTAGCTCATCAACCAGCTACATTCAGTATTGATTCTGTTTCCTTTTGCTCTCCTGAGATTAAAATCTCCCTCAGTGGTCTTTATTGGAAGTGAATGCTTTTGTTGGTGGTATTGGTGTTGTCTTGGAGCTCCTTTAGATTTTAAATGAGCAGACATACCAAGGCTTAGACAACCCTGTGTACTACTGACTATGGAAAGCAGCTGTTTCTTCCTGCCTGAAGAGTGATAGTGCAAGACTCAACTTGGACATGGGGAACATTGAGTCTCAGGGTACTCATGCTGGGACGTGTTCTCTTGAATGTCTAATGCAAATTCATGCAGTTAAAAATCTGGCTTGCATGTGATGCTAACAAACTTGGATCCCAGTACTTGAAGATGTACATGAGGGGAACAAACTGTGATATCACACTGTTTTCCTTTTGGCTTGCTTATATCTGAGTCCCCAGACTGATCTGATGTGGGTGCCAGACCTTAGCTGTTCTGTGACTGGTGCCTGATGTCCTATGAATCACAGAATCATCATAGAGCCATAGAATGGTTTGAGTTGGAAGGGACCTC